GAAGCGACTTCAGCCTCATAAAAAGTCAAACGTTAAGAGACATTTTACAAAAAACTGTTCTACTTTTGTCAAAATTTCCTGCCAGAGATGCGAGAAAAGTGGCTATAGCTGAGCAAAAAGTTAAAGCAGAGTCTGCATTTTCATTTATATAATATTTTATATCATATACTAGTACATTAGCACATATAGAGACATATTTACAGCCAAGTTGGTAAAATGGACATAAAATGTTGTGGCTCCCAAGGTGGTTTAATTTTTATTGAAAGGACATAAAAAATGGCTCTTCTTAACATTTGCATTGGAGATAGACCAAAGTTGAGCAGACTAGTGTGAACAATGCTGCTCATGTAGCCATATATATGTATACATAGTTAAAATCAAATACAGCGCTGTACTATGGGGTTCGGCTACGCAGCTACAAAACCTACGGCTTGTAAAGAAATCCAAATCAACTCATTGCTGACGTGTATTTGTTTTAAAGTGTGCACAGTCTGTGCACACTCTAAAACACCAAACTGACGCTATCTTTTAATGAATTGGCTCTTTTTGAATAGTGCTCAGTATGCAGGAGTGCAGCTTCTTTCACAAGAAAAAAGTCTTATAGAGCAATGCTTGTTGCCTTTTTAGTGACAGGTAGACCGGTCAGCCATAACATTATGACCACCTCCTTGTTTCTACGCTCATTGTCCATTTTATCAGCTCCACTTACTATATAGGTGCACTTTGTAGTTCTACAGTTACAGACTGTAGTCCATCTGTTTCTCTGATACTTTGTTAGCCCCCTTTTACCCTGTTCTTCAGTGGTCAGGACCCCCATGGACCCTCACAGAGCAGGTACTATTTGGGTGGTGGATCATTCTCAGCACTGCAGTAACACTGACGTGGTGGTGGTGTGTTAGTGTGTGTTGTGCTGGTCTGAGTGGATCAGACACAGCAGTGCTGCTGGAGTTTTTTAAACACTGTGTCCACTCACTGTCCACTCTATTAGACACTCATACCTTGTCAGTCCACCTTGTAGATGTAAAGTCAGAGACGATAGCTCATCTGCTGCTGCACAGTTTGCGTTGGTCATCCTCTAGTCCTTCATCAGTGGTCACAGGACGCTGCCCACAGGACGCTGTTGGCTGGATATTTTTGGTTGGTGGACTATTCTTAGTCCAGCAGTGACACACTAACACACCACCACCACATCAGTGTTACTGCAGTGCTGAGAATGATCCACCACCCAAATAGTACCTGCTCTGTGAGGGTCCATGGGGGTCCTGACCACTGAAGAACATGGTAAAAGGGAGTTAACAAAGTATGCAGAGAAACAGATGGACTACAGTCTGTAACTGTAGAACTACAAAGTGCACCTATATAGTAAGTGGAGCTGATAAAATGGACAATGAGCGTAGAAACAAGGAGGTGGTCAGAATGTTATGGCTGATCGGTGTATAAACATACTTTGGGGAAAGTGTTACCCAAAGATTCAGTGTCTCTGGGCCCAAACCAAGGCAACGGCAGATCCCTGTAGTCATTTACTTCTGGCTCCCAGGAGCTTACAGAGAAATAAATGAGATTTAAAGTGTAATGTCACCTTAACCTCGCGCCACATGCTTTGTGTCTTGTTCTAAGGGCACTTGCTGGCTCAGAAAAGCTGCTTTGTTCCTGCTTTCTTGCACTAGCTGTGTCATTGAAAAGCTGCTTTCAAAATGTCGAACAATGGATCTTTGCACAATTTGCAAGTAAACCAAGGATTCATTTTCAAATATGGTGACATAAATAACGAAAAGATAAAATTTTAAAAAGAACTGAACCCCCATCTATTCATGTGTGTACTTTTTTACAAGGGCATTAATATCCAGGCTCGCAGGCTTGCTTTCATCTGACAGTCAGTGGGAGAAAATGGGAAATTATATTCAAATGGAAATTAATTCAGAATGTGTGTTTAAATGGAACGCTTCTTTAATGCCTTCATTATCAGTGGTGTGATTTGGAGAAAGTGCATTCAGTTCTCAGGATTTTGGGATTAGTTTTCTGAACAGATGGGCTAATCTCACTTTGTACTCAGGTTATCTGCTCAGTGTACAATTCTATGGAAGCCCATTTTACACCATTCTAAAAAATGCCTTTTTCTCCTTCTCTGGAAGAAACGTCAAAATTTTGAGTAGAAAATTTGACTTTTCTTTACAGTTTGACAAATTAGGTCAACTTATGTTCTTGAGATTTTAGCTTGTATGTAAAAATAATCACTTTCTTTTAAATAAAAATGACTTATGTTGAGATTTTTCACTTAATGTGTTAAATGAGCAGCTTATCTTCTCACAATGTTGACTTATTATCTCATAGTCTTTACTTATTATGTCAAATTTGGACATACTATATCAAAGTTTGAAGTATTAAAGGGTCCATATCATGGAAAACCACATCTTTTTTGCTTTTTTGGATTTTTTTGGAGTTTGAGGTAGTATGTAAACACATTGTGTTTACATGTACTCAATATTCCAAACATAATCAGATTTCTGCAGTTATCCAATTATTCAAATGGTAATGTAAACACCATACTCTGATTTCTTAGGTCTAGAAATCCGATATAGAAATCTGATAAAGAGGCTGGATTTTAGCTCAGTAATTAGATTTCTCAGTGCTGTGAACTCTTACTCTGATTTCTTTCAGATTTCTCAGTCTGAGCATGTGCGAAAAACAGACTGTAATACCGGAAATAAGTGAGCAGCGTCGCCGTGAGACACAGCAAAACACTTTTGAAGCAGCGCTGAAACCGACTGCATGTTTGATGAAATGAAGAATTCAATTATTCTTCATCTTCTAGGTGATGTATGTTCATGTAAAGTGACGCGATGGTTTTAACAAAAAGCTGCGGCATGAAGTTTGAGTTTTACAATACATTTACGTCACGTCTTCTTCTGTGATTTCATTGGCTGGTCGTAAAGCAGAAATCTGATTACTGCCTGACTCATGTAGACCTGGAGTTTCCCCATTATCTGATTACTCCAGTGCATGTAAACGCGTTGATCGGGTTTCTGACAACATCTGATTTTCTGCAGTTATCAGATTATTGAGTGCATGTAAACACACTCAATGTTAGTCTATAGAGTCCATATGTGAAAACTAAGTCACAAAAACAGCCTGTTTTGAATTCACTGTTTTCGTGATGTCACAAAAACTCATTTACATATATCCAACCATTTGCCCTACAGCAGTCTAGCCCCGCCCATAAATGCTTCAATTTTAAGTGCTTCAGTCTGGACCCTAAAAAATACAGGGCAGCCAATCAGAACAGAGGTCATTTACGTTAAAGGCACGGTAACAAAAGCTATAAGGGAAAAGGAGAGGTTGGACAATAGTCATGCAAAAAATAATTATGGCTGTTTTTGATGCATAAAACCAAGGAAACGTCTTAAGTGGATGTCAAATAAAACAGAAGAGAAATGTAGGATATGGGCTCTTTAAATTTTAAGGAAGTAAGTACTTACTTTTGAATAATAAGTCATTATTTTGAGATAAAGAATCAGAGAAAATGAGTGTTTATTTTAAGACAATAAGACATAATTTTAAGAGCCATCATTGCTGGTTTTTTCTACACCTTCTCATCTCATTTTTCACCAAGCCACTTTAAAATCACTTCTTCATCAAGTACAAAATAAAATATGGGCACTGAATGTGAAAATAAAGCAATAAAAAGGTGACAAAAAGGTGAAACATCTGAAGTGAAATATCTCTGTCTTTGTGTGTAATCCGTTCAACCAGAGTGTGTGTGTGTGTGTGTGTGTGTGTGTGTGTGTGTGTGTGTGTGTGTGTGTGGAGGGAGGGTGGGTTAAAAAAGAACAGGAAGAATAGAATAGAGACAGATCGATTGAGAGTGTGAAAGACAGAAAAAGGCAGAGAATAAAGAGAGACTGAAAAGAGTTGAAGTAGAGGAAAAAAACAGAGACTGTGAGTGAAAGAAATGGCAAAGAATGAGAGAAAGAGAAGGGGGAGAAAGAGAGGAGAGAGACTGTGAGGCGGAGAGAACAAATAAAGAGGGAGAGTGTGTGCATGTGAGAGAAAGAGAAGGAAGGAGAGAGAAGACAGAAATAAGAGAATAGAGGGTGAGTGAAAGAAAAAGAGAGAGATAAAAAAAGAGAATACAGACCGAGCGAGAGAGTGAAATAGATTGAGTGTGATACAGAAAGAGAGCGTGGAATAATGTTAGGTGAGAGTGAGAGGAGGAAAGTGTAAGGAGAGAGAGAGAGGATGATAGTATAAAGAGAAAGAGAGTGTGTAAGTAGAGAGAGGATAGGGAGCGAAGAAGAGAGAGACAGAGAGAGAGAGTGTATGTGTGTGTGTGAGAGAGAGAGATAGAGATAGAGAGAGAGAGGATGATAGTATAAAGAGAAAGAGAGTGTGTAAGTACAGAGAGGATAGTGAGCGAAGGAGAGAGAGACAGAGAGAGAGATGATAGTATAAAGATAAAGTGCGTAAGTAGAGAGTGAGGGCGAGAGAGAGAGAAAAAGAGAGAGAGGGGGAGAGTGTGTGTATGTGTGTGTAAGAGAGAGGGAGAGAGAGAAAAAGAGGATAGTGAGCGAGGGAGAAAGAGAGAGAGAGAGAGAGAGAGAGAGAGAGAGAGAGAGAAAGAGAGTGTGTGTGTGTGTGTGAGAGAGAGAGAAAGAGAGAGAGGATGGTATAAAGAGAAAGAGTGTGTAAGTAGAGAGTGAGGGCGAGAGAGAGAGAAAGAGAGGATAGTGAGCGAGGGAGAGAGAAAGACAGAGAGAGAGTGTGTGTGTGTGTGTGTGAGTGAGTGAGAGAGAGAGAGAGAGAGTGTGTGTGTGTGTGTGTGTGTGTGAGTGAGAGAGAGAGAGAGAGAGAGAGAGAGATAGAGATAGAGAGAGTGTGTGTGTGTGAGTGAGAGAGAGAGAGAGAGTGTATGTGTGTGAGTGAGAGAGAGAGAGAGAGAGAGTGTGTGTGTGTGAGTGAGAGAGAGAGAGAGAGAGTGTGTGTGTGTGAGTGAGAGAGAGAGAGAGAGAGAGAGAGAGAAGTGGGCTCCTCATGTCTTCCAGTTCCAGGCTGCTCTCCTCTGTCCGCGCTGATGGAGGGAGGCTGAGCTGAAGGCTGGAGAGCTGGAGAGATGGAGGGATGTACCGATGGAGGGATGAAGTGACACGGCGTTAACCGTCCTCTGTCTTCGTTTCCGCTCTTTTTCTCACTTGTTCCGCTCCGCGTCCCGCAGCTGCTTCATGACCAAAGACTCCGTAGCGGAGTTGATCTGCCAAAGAAGCGAGTCGATTTCCTTCCGTTTCAGTTCCTCTCGTACTTCAGGTGAGTCCTTTCCTCGTGTATCCTCTGTTATCGTGGCCGATTTGAAGCAGCGATGCGACTTTTAACTCGTTACTGCTTTCTAGTTTTCCGGCGTTTTAAATGAGCCGCAGTCGACTTCACTCCACTCGGCTCCAATGCCACGTCTGTTTGCGAACGTTTGGCAGCTGGAGCTGTATCGCTGATCTGAAGTGCAGCTCTGTTACAGAATTAGAGACATTTCAGCTTTAGCCCTTTATTAATGACGGAATATCACGGCACTGATGGCTGTTTTTAACGTTAAAAGCAAGTACTGAGCTCTCGGTCCGCCTTATGGCTCAACAGGTATCTGCAGTCCACTGTGCTCTGAGAGGAACTGAACATCTACCTGTAAAACCCTGACCAGCTTTCAGAGCCGGGCTGTATGAACATTCATATAGTAATAAACCCACCACTACGACTACTGATAATAATAATAGGTTAAAGGAATTTCTATACCCAATTCTACAATCTTAAAGAGAGAGTTCTTTAGTAATGGTTCTATACAGAACCAAAAACTGCTATACGTATAGAATACATATACCTATATAATCCTATACCTATTGAACCAAGAATTCCTACCCAATTCTACAGTCTTAAAAAAGATGGTTCTTTAACAGTTCTTTAGTAATGGTTCTATAGAGCACCAAAAACTGCTATAGTTATAGAAAACCTATACCTATAGAATCCTATACCTATAGAACCAAGAATTCCTATACCCAATTCTACAGTCTTAAAAAAAGACACAAGAGGTGGTTCTTTAATAGTTTATTAGTAACGGTTCTATACAGCACCAAAAACTCTGATGTCTATAGAATACCTATAGCTTTAGAATACCTACACCTATAGAATCCAATACCTATAGAACCAAGAACTTCTATACCCAATTCTACAATCTTAAAGAGAGAGTTCTTTAGTAATGGTTCTATACAGAACCAAAAACTGCTATGCTTATAGAATACATATACCTATATAATCCTGTACTTATTGAACCAAGAATTCCTACCCAATTCTACAGTCTTAAAAAGATGGTTCTTTAATAGTTCTTTAGTAATGGTTCTATAGAGCACCAAAAACTGCTACACTGAATTCTGTACCTATAGAACCAAGAATTCCTATACCCAATTCTACAGTCTTAAAAAAAGACAAAAAAGGTGGTTCTTTAATAGTTCTTCAGTAATGGTTCTATACAGCACCAAAACTCCTATACCTATAGAACACCTACACCTATAGAATCCAATACCTATAGAACCAAGAACTTCTATACCCAATTCTACTTCTTCTAATTCTCTTAAAAAAGGTGGTTCTTTAGTAGTTCTTTAGTAACAGTTCTATACAGCAACAAAAATGGTTCCTCTATTGTTCCAAAGCTTGACATTGCAACAACAGAAGAACCCTTGTTAGTGCTGTACAGAACTATTTAAAAAACCTATACATGTACCACATACAACACATTCTCCATCAATCTGAAGAACCATTTAAGCACAAAATGGTTCTATATAGAAGTCATGGTTCTAAATAGAAGCATTCCCTGTACTGAAGAACCTCTGAAAAACCTTTTTTTTCAGAGTGTAAGGTAACATATCGCTGCTGTCGGAAGAAAACCTCACATCTTCATTTTTGTTTTTCAGTTTTTGACATAATTTGAAAATACCTGTTTCTCTTTACATTGTGTGTAAATTTCATGATGAATGGACTAAAAGAAACGGCCCAGAATGACATGGAAAAAATTCTGGTTCCATTGACTTACATTAAAAGTAAAGTATGTTTTTTCCTTCTCCTGTAAAGTTTCCATTTTGGAGATACGAGGTTTTCTACCAACAACAGCGATATAATCTGCAGCACCAGTGTAAATAGTTGTGTTTAAACAGTGTGTTGTTGAGTTCATAAGAATTATTCTCATGTTCTTTATATTCAGTTTGTCTTTTCTTTAAAATCTACTAAGCTTTAAAACTGTAGCAGTTCACATAAAGAGGCACTCTGGCCAAAATTACATTCGTAGCCAAAATTGCATTTACTGTAAACATGCCCTTTTGCCTTCTCCTGGTGCCGTAGTAGTTTCTAAAGGGAGACTTCCTGATTTAAATACTAAGAAACTCCCTTCTGATGATGTATTTTGAAGGTGGAAGTCGCTTATGAAAGAGTATAAATCCCTCGGGCTCAAGCTTTTTTTGCTCCCTTTATCAAAGAAAAATAGAAAATGATCCATTATGTGTACTGGTGGGGCTGGGGGGGGGGCAATGCTGCACTACAGAAGACAGTGTAACATAAAAAACATATTAAATGCAAAAGAGCTAGTTTTAGTCTCAACTGACACCAGAAAGACATAAAACTACAACATGACGTCACACAATGTTTTTTTTTTTCCCCGGTCTGATATCCAATCCAGCATTTTCTGCTGATATTTTCAGCCCGATATCGACGCCTGATATTAGACCGGTGCAGTCTCTAGTCTTGAGGGCAGAGCTGTTTTTGGGCTGACTGTGGTACAGTAAAATCAGTATCATGAGATGTTTCATAGCGGGATACCTGTGCCACCCCTGCACTGAATGCACTGTAGTGTATAGCATGAAAAGACAAGACAGTACAATTTGCTGCTATCCATGATGAGTGTATAGTGTAGTGCTGCTTTAAATGCAGTATATTTACTGCTTTTACATACATGCTTGACCAGCAAGGCTGAAATCCTTATGTGCAAAAGATGGACATTATTCAGGTAGATTGGGGAACAGGTGTTGTAAAGAGGTCACAGTTTGTGGAATCCAGTGCACCGTTTGTCAGAAAACAACCTATTTTCTATATTGGTGGCAGAGATTGATCATTTTGTTTTCGGTACTCTGTTTCCATACTGTCTCACAGCCTGACTGTACTGTCTATTTTTACTCCCCCTCTCAAAGATGATGGCTGATTTTAGAGCACGCTCCATTTGAAGGAGACACACCTGTCCTGAGGATCCTGTGTTGGAGTCAGCATGGCAACTGGAGTGGCAGCATGGCTCCCTTTTGCCCGGGCAGCTGCCATCGGCTGGATGCCAGTGGCAAATTGCCCCATGCCCCCTGCCCCCAGGGAGCACAGCAAGAAGCAGGACGAGCTCATCATTCTGAACGTCAGCGGGCGCCGCTTTCAAACCTGGAGGACCACACTGGACCGTTACCCGGACACCCTGCTCGGCAGCACCGAGAAAGAATTCTTTTACAACGAGGAAACAAAAGAGTACTTCTTCGACCGGGATCCGGATGCATTCCGCAGCGTCCTCAACTTTTACCGCACGGGCAAGCTGCACTACCCGAGGTACGAGTGCATCTCGGCCTTCGACGAGGAGCTGGCTTTCTTCGGCATCATCCCGGAAATCATCGGCGACTGCTGCTACGAAGAATACAAAGATCGCAAGCGGGAGAATGCGGAGCGCCTCATGGATGACCAGGAGGAGAACAAAGACAGCAAATTGCCCAACATGAACTTCCGGGAGACCATGTGGAGGGCCTTCGAGAACCCCCACACAAGCACCATGGCCCTGGTGTTCTACTACGTGACTGGCTTCTTCATCGCGGTTTCCGTCATCACCAACGTGGTTGAGACAGTTCCTTGTGGTTCCACGCCCAACCAGAAGGACGTGCCCTGCGGAGAACGTTACACCGTAGCCTTCTTCTGCATGGACACTGCCTGCGTCATGATCTTCACTGTGGAGTATCTCCTGCGGCTGTTCGCGGCGCCCAGCCGCTACCGCTTCATGCGGAGCGTGATGAGCATCATCGATGTGGTGGCCATCCTGCCCTACTACATCGGCCTGGTCATGACCAACAACGAGGACGTGAGCGGCGCCTTCGTCACCTTGCGCGTCTTCCGCGTTTTCCGCATCTTCAAATTCTCGCGCCACTCGCAAGGCCTTCGCATCCTGGGATACACGCTGAAGAGCTGTGCTTCGGAGCTGGGCTTCCTCCTCTTTTCCCTCACAATGGCCATCATCATCTTTGCTACAGTCATGTTCTACGCGGAGAAGGGGTCGAGCTCTAGCAAGTTCACTAGCATTCCTGCCTCTTTCTGGTACACCATTGTTACAATGACCACGCTGGGGTAAGTGCAGCTCACAGATTACCTGCAAATTGTGCTCGGTCGTTAAACTGTCAGGTGTCAGGAACTGGTAGTTTCATTTAAGAAACCTTTGTGAGCCTTTTTTCATGTTTCTTCCTCAAGCAGTCCATTCACATTGTTGTAGGTTTCTCTCCTGTTGTTTAACAGCGCCACCAGGCGCTGGGGCGGTGAAGGAAAATGCATGCTATTCTCAGATATGTGGGGACCACTGCATTGTTTAGAAATACTTACAATTAGGTCCGGGAGCACTTATCAGTTTGTCATTAATCATCAATGTAAAAATAATTTATTTTTTCTTTCCATTTTTATGAATGAGCTTTTGGCGCTCCAATCCATGGTTGGAAGCTCTAGTTCTGGTTTTACTTCATTCACACATGCAGCAGTGAGTTGCCCTGTGTGTGAATGTCACACTGTTATGTTTTGTACTTTATTAATAGCAAAAAAACAATGGGAAATTTGTTATTGTGCTACCTAACTATTCCCACACTGGGGCAGGGGGAGTTAAGTGCCTTGCCTAGGGTCCTAGATAAGAATATCCAGCCTTGCATTTGAACCTGCAGCCTTCAGGTTGCTGGCTCACCTCTCCTACTACTAGGCTACCACCCATCCTGCTGGCATGCTGCTACACGGAGAAAACACCACCCAAAACAAGTTTTTGTTCTACTTTATAGTTTGTGTGTTAATGTTTAATTGTTATGAGGTCTTTTTAACAATGAATCAACTATTTTAGAATGAAAAAAGTGAATATGGTTTTTAACACATTAAAACTTCTGCTTTGATAAATTTTTTATTAAACACTCGCAAGAAGAAGACAAAGTTAGCAGTTTTCTTTTAGCCAGTGTGAAAGCCGCAGACACAGTTTAACAGCTGGTTCTGCTAAAATGTTCATCACTGACTCAAAGAGGAGCTTCAGTTTAAGTTTAAGCATTAAAGGAGAATTCTACTGATTTTTTTTTTTTTTTAAATTGCTTAAATCAACGATTGAGTCATAAAAGTCATTCAGAGTGGTTTGATGTGAAATGATTAATTGTAGAGAAACACAGCAGCTCAGATTTCACTTCATTTAATGTAGCTTTTGACACATTTTGAGCATTTTTTTCTAAATAAACGTATAAATAAATAGATAAATAATTAATTTAAATTTTGGGAAAAAAAAAAAAAAACTAAAGGAGAAACGTACGGTTGGTGTAATACTCATATCCAGCTGTTAGTTTATTTACTACAAGATGTAGGTCACATTTCTGCAGCCCTGCGGGGACCCAAACAGCTGATTCATCGCTAATTAGCAATGAGAAAACTAGTAAAAAGCATAAAGATGAATTGGAAAGCTCAAGGTCATTTTGTCCAAACATGTCTTTACATTAAAAGTCAAGTTTTCCAGTAAGCGCTTTCCCATTAACTGGACAAATATATCATCATTTGACATGTTTAATGAAGGTCAAGCATGCCGTGTGCTGTACCATGATAAAACCAAAGTTCTTTACAGTGAGTTTAAAGCCTCAGGCCTAAAGCATAAACAGCATGTGATATGATCAGTAATCCATTTGGTCACATCATCACATGTTTACGCACTAAGTGGTAAATACCTCTTATTGTTATGTGATGCAAAAGAGGAAAATGGACTGGGGCCATAATGGCTGTGAGTAAGTGTAGCAAAGACAGACGCCGTGCCTTCTCAAAGGCCCAGTGGGTATAAGTAGCTGTCAGAGTGACTAATAGTGTGCACCACTACATCTGCTGACAAATATAAACCTTCATGATATCTGCCGTTTACTGTGCTGGGAGCAGACCGAATAAGGACATAACTGTTGTAGGGTGGACAGCAGTGACCGAGCTGTGTGTAGATGTTTGGTTGTTAGGGGTATAAGCATTGAGGAGCCTTATAAGAGAGCTTAGATGAGGTCAGATGAAATTTATGAGATGCTCCTGGCCGAGGCTAATTTATCAGAACAGTGTGCTTCAGGGTGAATCAGGCCCCCTTTCTAGTTCCGAGGAAACACTTTTTCAGATGTTTGTGGAAGCTTTGTAATTAGGAAAGCTAAAAAAGGACACTAAAGGATTAGGATGGTATGAAAAAAAGAATTATCTAGCTTTCGGTTTTTCCATGGCCAGCTCTGTTTGTCACATCTCTTTGCCTGTGATAATCTAAATAGAATCTGCTATGGATAATCCCCCCCAAACACAATGCCTTCAACAGGATTAGGGGTTTGCGTTTCAGGTGAAATATTACATGCCGATTGATTGCGGTGACGCATTATGAAACGAGCGCACTAAACTAGAAAAAGGATTTCAGATAAATCCATTTTCTTAAGCATTCCCTGTTTTCCCCAAACACGAAATTGTCTTCACTGTAAATGATCTACTATGCTGTCGTGCCTCAAAAGCTAATTGCCTGTAACAGACAGCTTTTCTTAGAGCGACTGCTTAACCCAAATGTAGGCCCAGATTCCGTTTACATGATGCATGGAGTTTTAATTTCATTGTCACTCATGAAATCACAATTTAGTCATTTCATTTGTTATTTCACTGGGGATCATGCAGACTTGCTTTGCATGAGCTGTGATGAGAAAACGACTTGCCTCATAAAAAAATACATTTTTCAGATATTTTTGACCTCATAAATGCTGAGAAAAGCCAGCGGTAAAGCAGTATTAAAGAATTATTACACTGATAATTTCAGTGATTAAACTGGTCGTTTGAATACATTGTTATCCCAGTTTATCTAAAACCACTGTCCCCATTCATTTTCAGCTGGGTTTACAGTAAGCTAATGCCTATTTTCAGCCAGTAGGGATGTGCATGGGTACTCAAGTACTGAGTTAGCCATTCTGAGGGCTAGAGATACGCTGATGCCAGTACACTGTTAGTAATAAAGGTTCTGTTCAGGTACATTTTTCATTCATCAAGGTACAAACAGTGTAATTGTTCCCTCAAAGGTTCAACAGTGGTTTTAAGGTCTGATTGTGAACCTTAAATAAGTTTTTCCAGGTGAAAAGTTTGTATTTGTACCTTTTCATAACCGAATGTTTTAAAACAGAACAGTAAAATAAAAGCCTGGAGGCGAGACGGGGTGTGTGGAGTCAGTACAGCTTAGAACATATCATTTCAGTGGATTATGGTTCAGTTATGTTCCCTGACTAAAGGTACTGAGATGAACCCTTGAGGGTCCCACCCCAGTGACAAGAGGGGCACTGACCCAGTGACAGTTTACTACCTTTACTTTTTAGAGTGGACCATATTGGTACTGGCAATAGAAAATAGCAATATCAGTAAAAATGCTCATGGCAAAATCTGTAATGCCTGTATTCTGAAGGACGGCAATCGTAGTGGGTGATATACCAGTTGGAACTCTTCCTTATGTATTCATTTCACCAGTATGCCACAAACAAGCCAGTTACAAAGTACAAACAGTACAAAACATACTAACAGGAGCCCTTTACCTAATTATCATCTTTCATCTTTCAGAAATCGTTCACCTCCTGCTATACAGTCTGTTACAGTCCAAGTTGTTATCGAAGGATCAAACATCAAGATACATGAAAGGAACAGCCAGTCTCTTGGGGTAATGATGAGGAGCCTTTAGCCTAGGTTTAGCCTTTAGCATAAAAACTTACTATTGATGCGTCACTAGAAATCAATCTTATTTGCGCTGCATCATGGGATCTAAGAGAGAAAATAGGAGAGAGCAAACATTATAAAGATACATGAAAGGAACAGCCAGTCTCTTGGGGTAACAATGATGAGCCTTTAGCCTAGGTTTATCTTTTAGCATAAAAAAAATTACTATTGACGCATCACTAGAAATCACTCTTATTTGCGCTGCATCATGGGATCTAAGAGAGATAATATGCAGATCAGCAATTCAACAAATCAGAAATGTGCACACCAACAGCTGAATTTCAAAGACCTAAACATTGTGATGATTTTTTTGTAATTGCTTGAAAAATTATCACCATCTGCTGCTGCACTGAGTAGCTCTAGTGTTAGTGTTAACTCATTAGCTCTTTTAAGGCAGCCTCTGTTACATAAGCGCAGCAATCAAAAGATTTCCCTCAGCTATTTTTTTGCATTTTTTCCAATTTTCTCCCCAATTTTGTCATGTCTGAATTCACCCACTTGCTAGGTCTGCCCTCATAACATGATGCTACCAGTTCTACAAAGATGAAGGGCAGCACATTCTATAATTTTAAACTGCTGCAAACAGATCATTGGCCAGCTCTACACGCTTGGAGGAGAATGCTAACTGCCAGTTCTGTTACATCAGCTAAAATGCCTGCATTGGCTAGAATCGCACTGAGTGATGTGGGGGTTGGGAGGCCATCCTGCCCACCCAGAGAGAGCCAACAAAGTCTGTAGCTATAAATGTAGGGCTTGATTCACAGACGCTTGCAAAAAAAAATTGAGTTGCAACAACTTGTTAATTATTAAGTGTGGCTGTTTTCCAAAAAAGACCCAACAGAAACAACAGTTAGCTTTACGAAGTTGCCACCATTAAACATATGTCTAATTTAGTTCACAAGATATGTTGCAATATGAAGGGCTCCACAAAGAACCATTCAAGGCATGTTATCAGTATTTTATTAGCACCCTTGGTGGAACCTTAAAAAAAAATAAATAAATAAATAAATAAATAAATAAATAAAATAGCACTGTACCTTCATCAAAACTCTGTTTGTTTTCTGGTAATCACTGAATTAATTCTTATCTACATTTACAGATTGTTAACAGTTATTATGAACGAAGTGGCAGAATTTAAATTACCTCAATTAACCGGCAGTTCTGATTTCAGCGTTCGTTTGAGGTCAGGTTAGCGGTGAGGGCAGAGGAAAAGTGACGCTCAATTATATGTGCCATATTTAGTGGAAGCGCCCATGTGTGATGGGTAAATGGCTAAATTTTTCTAAACCTTTTCCCTGGGAGGATACCCAGAAAGCTTTAATGCAAGTCTTTTAGCACCTAGGCAGAGTCAAAAATGTCATGGG